GTCCTCCTGAAGCCTGGACCATCGCTCCTCGTTATGTTGTCTTGTGAATCTCGCCACGCAAGCGCACCCCATGTAGCTTGCACAACATATAACGGCGCCTGCAGTGCCATTGTCCTGGCAAGTTTGGGCCAACTCGTTTTGTCATTTGATTCAACTGGTTTGGGCACGTCACAGGGTAATTCTGCTATACACTGCCACGTGTCAAGGGCACCTTGACTGGCACAGCTGCTTCTCTTGCACACAACGGCACGTAGACCCATCCGGGCATGGTGGGCATCGGCGTGCAGATCGGCATCGAACGATGCACCATATTTGGCACCCGTCCTGCGGCGTGCTGTCCGGTTCTCTCGAGTACCTGCGCCCACGTGGAGCAATACCCGGATGAACATCCAGTCCCGCCCGAAGTCCGCCACATGGCCCGACCTCGCGGGGTCGTCTCCACTGGTGAGCTGGGCGCCGCCCTCCGTGGCTGCGGTCTGGCCCGGGTGGGCGTCTCATCCAAGATGCGCGTGGTGCAGTCGTATCTTGAGTTGGTGCCCCTCCAGGTGGGGCGCGTGCGGTTCACTGGCTACGCAGGTGGGTGCGCACACACAGGGTGTGCTCAGTTCTCGCGGCAGTGCTTGCATACAGAGGACCTTGGCGCTACCCAAGCCCCTGATGCCCTTGAGCGGTACATGAAAGTCGCCTTACCTTTCGCAGTTCTGTTGGAGATTATGGGTTCTGGTTCGAATGCAGAAGACCTTACGATCACCTGTGGGGACAAAGATCCGTCCGTGCTTTGGGTATGCAAGATTCGTCCGCAGTTGCTCCGGATGATGGCCTTCCTCGACCCTGACTGGTGGAGGCGAATCGTGCCAAGTTGTACTATCAGGCTCAAGTTCTGGAGCCCCACATGGTCGCATCGCAGCCAGGCGGATTTTCAGCCAAACATCGTCTCAATAAGCCTAGACATGCATGCCTGAGTCTCATGTTTTCTTTCTCGCAGGTTCCCGCTCGATGTCAGTTCGACGCGTGTCCAAGGCGGCCACGTTCCTAATGAAGCGCATTCATGCCAGGACTGGAGCTGCTGGGATTCAAGCAAGCACGCTGACTGACTGCAAGTCACTCCGGGCTGCAAGCGTCGGCGCGGCGACGCGAGGGAACAGTCAACCGCTCCGCAATGCTGCGTTCTCTGTGGGGTGGCCATGTGTGGGCCAGCCGCGTACGAGTGTGCGATGTTGGACAGGCTCTCGAGTGCTTGGATCCGCAGGCGCAGGAGCTCGCCTCATCACGTCTCTTCCACAACGCTCGCGACGCTGACGCGGACATGGTCACGGTCCAACACGCACTGGCTGGCGCCGTGCACGTCGAAGGCCGACGCGGATAGAACGTGCCTCAAGCCTCTCCATTGACGTGTTGCGGGGTGCAAAGGCGGCGTGCGGAACGATGAAGTTTTAAAAGCTTGGGGATGGATTCTTGAAGTAATTGAAATATCAGGCCAATTGGCGCACGGTTCAGCAGTTGCAGATTGTCCATAATGCTATCGCGGTGCGAACTTCTTTTCGACAACATCGCGTGGCCACGGATCTCACAGCAGCTCGCCTGCGCGGGCCGCGGAGCGACTACATGCTCGCAGTCAGGTGCGACGACGTTTTGTTGTTGATGCGATTCTTGGTATGCAAAAGCTGTTCGTTCGTTGGGGTTAGAGACACATATGCAGATACGGCGGATGCTTGTGAGTCCTAGGCACTGAAACCGATACACGCAGTGTGTAGTACATCCCTTTATTTAACCATGCATGACGGCCACTACCGTACATCTACTGACCAACTGGTACCGGCCCATACCGCACCGCGCCAACCAGCGGCGGCCATCGTACCAAACGATGCCGTACCGACCGTCTCTACCGTACTGGACGATACCGCACCGGCCGCGTCTGCCGTGCCAGACAACACCATACCGTGCAGCACACTGCCCCCAACATCAGGGGCCTTTGGGGGCCCTGGGAGGCCCTAGGGGGTACTGGGGGGTACTGGAGGGCCCTGGGCGGCCCTGGAGGGTACTGGGGGATACTGCGGGGCACTGGGGTGCCCTGGGAGGCACTGGGGGGCACTGGGGGTGCTAGGTGGCACTGGGGGTACTGGGGGGTACTGGGAGATACTGGTGGGTGATGGAGGGGTACTGGCTGGTACTGGAGGGCCCTGGGGGACCCTGGGGGGCACAGGGGCGCACTCGGGGGCAATGGCGCGAACTGGGGGGTACTGGGGGGCCCTGGAGGGCCCTGGGCGTACTGGGGGGTACTGGGGGGTACTGGGGGGTACTAGGGTGTACTGGGATGCACTGGGGGGTACTGGGGGGTACTCGGAGGTACTGCGCAGAACTGGGGGGTGTTGGGTGGCCATGTGCGGCCCTGGGTGGTACTAGGGGGCACTCGTGGGTACTGGAGCGCCCTGCGAGGCCCTGAGGGGTACTTGCGGGTACTGGGGGGTACTGGGGGGTACTGGAGGGTACTGGGGGGGCCCTGGGCGGCCCTGGAGGATACTGAGGGGGCACGGGGGGGCACTGGGGGGAACTGAGAATACTGGGGGGCACGGCGGGGTACTAGGGGGTACTGGGGGGAACAGGGTGGTAACTGGGGTGTTGGGAGGTCCTGAAGTGCCCTGGGGGGGACTGGAGGCCCAGTAGGGCCCTGGGGGTACTGGGGTACTGGAGGGTACTGGGGGTACTGGGGGTTCTTGGGGTACACTGGAGGGTACTGGGGGGTACTGGGGGTACTAGGGGGGCCCAGGAAGCCCCGCGGGATACTGGGTGGTACTGGAGGGTACTCGAGGTACTGGGGGGTACTGGGGGGCCCTGGAGTGTACTGGGAGGTATTGGAGGGCCCTGGGAGGCCCGGGGGGGCCCTGGGGGGCACTGGGGCGCCCTGGGGGGTGCTGGAGGGTGCTGGAGGCTACTGGTGGGTACTGGGGGGTACTGGGTGGCCCTGGCCTCCTCCTCCTCCTCCTCGTCCTCGTTCTCGTTCTCCTCCTCCGCATCCTCTTCCTCCTCCTCCTCCTCCTCCTCCTCCTCCTCCTCCTCCTCCTCCTCCTCCTCCTCCTCCTCCTCCTCCTCCTCCTATTCTTCCTCCTCCTCCTCCTCCTGCTCCACCTCCTCCTTCCTCCTCCTCCCTCTTCCTCCTCGTTGTTATCCTCCTCCTCCTCCTCCTCTTCCTCCTCCTCCTCCTCCTCCATCTCTTCCTCCTCCTCCTCCTCCTTCTCCCTCCTCCTCGTTTTCCTCCTCCTCCTCCTCCTCCGCATCATCGTCATCATCCTCCTCCTCTTCCTCCTCCTCCTCCTCGTTCCTTCTTCCGTTCCCATTATTCATTCCAAAGACCGTACCTGTGCCTGCCGTGGTCCTGATACCGTGCTGGTACCGCGCGATCCCAAAACCGTACTGGTACCGCTACCGTACGGGCAATACTGGTACAGGCGGCAATAATCGGGCACAGTTAACCGTACCAATACTGCGTGCTCCTCATCCTCATACCGTACCATACCGTGCCGTACCGTGGCCATGATGACAATGAGATTTGGCTAACTTCCGAGGGGATGCGGATTGGATATGCTCCATGCGTTCCTCAGCATTCGCCCTCAGCGGTGAAGAGCGGTGCAGGGCGGTATACCGCCTCCGACCCCTCGGCGACGAGTTGTCATACTCCCATTCCAGTCAGCTATATCTGGGAAGCTAGCGCGGTTCGCACAGCAGGGGATCTCTCGCTCAGAGGTGTTCTGCATTACCGTGGCAGATAGTATCGAGATTATTTCGCAAGGCTACCCTATCTCCTTCATCCGGAGCGCGTGGTAGTTTCTTCCCAACGACCATTCGGCACGCTAGCGCGCCATGGTGATCATTACGGCGTTGGGCGGAGCCTTCACTGTCGAGTGGCGTCAGCGCCGATCACACCGATTGCACCCGCACAGGTTATGGCAAACAGCTGGGGTTTACGCGGCAACGCGGCTGCCGCAGTCGTTGACGGAGATGTTGATGCGATGGGCTGCGTTCGATCTTTCGGAGACGTCGTCTCGGTGGCAGTTCTTCGCGGAGGCCTGGCGGGATCGGCCGGCGCCCACGGACCCCATGCCTTTCGAAGTGTCTGCCACTATACTTCAAAGAGCGCAGAGCGTAAGGGGGCTTGACAGAACGAGCGGATCAGACAGGGTGATTCGATTGAACAGGGCTATTCTGGAAGCCACTGTCTGAAACAAACGCGCGTTGAGGGCATGTTCGTCCCGCCTACTTTATATTTTTCGTCCATCGCGGAAGCTCTTGGAAAGCCGCTGCCAGGAGCAGATGCCCATATCGAGTCATTCGTAGCCGTTTTGGCGCACGCGCGCGAATCTTCGTCAAGACCCCACCGGCTCCGCAGACGCGGACGGGATACGCTAGCAGCAGAAGACGACGCTTGAAGATCACCTGGTCCTGCCAGTGGGAAAAACAGCATCGAGAGCGCATGTGAACTCACTTGTTCTCTCGTTGTTTGTCCTGCAATCGGGAGGACGTGAGACTGTTAAAAAAGCGAAAGCGCGTGCATTGCGGTTGATATAACGTTCTCAAGAGGGTACGCCGATGGCCGCCTCAGATTGGTAACATGAAGCAGGGGTCCTACAAGTAGGGGGCTCCGGCTCAAGACTTCCACGCAGTTCACTCACTGGCGAGCGCTCCAGACGTCCTTACAAAAAGCCTAAGGAAGGAGAAGGAGGGAAGGGGGATGGAGGGATTGGACGCCCATAATGGGAAGAGAGAGAAAAGGAGACGGTCCAGGGGGCGCCCATCCACAGGACATTTGTCAGCCCCTCAGGCGAGCTCCTTCATCGCCCCAAGGGCCCCGACATAGGGAGGGAGGAGAGGGAGGACGAGGGAGGAGAGGGAGGACGAGGGAGGACTCGAGAGGACGAGGGAGGACGAAGGAGGAGGAGGAGAAGGAGGAGGAGGAGGGACACCACCACCTTCTCCTGTGGCACGGCTCTCCTCTGCCGCCGCGCCTGGTTCAGCTCGAGCTCGATGGTCGAGTCTCGGCTCTGGAAAGCCGCGAGCAGGCTCTTCAGCTCCGTCACCTCGGCGCGCGGCACAGGTTGGGGCGAGGACGCCCGGAAGGGAGCAAAGGGGCCAAACCTCGAATTCCGACCGACGAGGACTTTTGTCGAGGAGGAGGAGGAGGAGGAGGAGGAGGAGGAGGAGGAGGAGGAGGAGGAGGAGGAGGAGGAGGAGGAGGAGGAGGAGGGAGCCCAAGGGAGCGCGACCACCAGGGTTCGACACCTCGGCTACATAAAACCACAGTGCGAGTGCGAGAGTCGCCAGGCAAACCCAGAACTTCGCACAAGCCGACCTGCAGTGTACAAACGCATGCAGTGAACCTTTGGCGCGGGAGAGACACGCGGGGCACCCACGAAATGGCAGCACGAGCTACCCGTGACAAGTTTTGCCAGGTCGCTTTCCGTGTAGAGGAAGAGGGAGGATGAGTAAGAGGAGGAGGAGGAGGAGGAGGAGGAGGAGGAGGAGGAGGAGGAGGTGGAGGCGGAGGCGGAGGCGGAAGCGGAGGCGGCGGAGGAGGAGGCGGAGGAGCACAGGGAGCCACGGATTGCCCAGAAACCCGTGGCAGTGTGCCAGCCCTAAGGGGTCAGCCTCGGCCACACCTCCACTTTCCCCCATAAACCACTACATCCTTTCGATCCTAAACTCTTACACTCCGTGTGGACTACAGCCCGTCCCCTTCCCCAGGACAACACGACTTCTACGTCGATCAATCCAGCTTGACGTCGGCACGAACGAGGACGTCGAGCTCTTGCACGAGTACTACTACGCGTTGCATCCGCACGATCTCTCCACGCTGCGAAAGACCTGCCACGGGCGCACCACAGCGCGCAACAACAACCGCAGCATCCACGTCAAGCTCCCGCAATGGCGGCATCATGGGGATCAGCCGCGACTGGACCATCGGAGACAACGCCACCATGGAGGGGCGCTTCGAGCCGTACGCCCAGCAGAGGACCGACACCACCTGCCACACCACCGGCGATTGGAGCAGGTCTCGAGCGCTGGAGGAACAACAAAACAAGTAGGTGGGGCACTGGGCCAAGGACCACCCCGACACCTAGTGGAACAAAGGCTGCAACGGTAAGGGCTGCACAGGCAAGGGCAAAAAAAGCTTCCCAAAATCCGACGACGACGACATTTAGGGCGACAATCGCAACCAGAAAGGCAAGAACAAGGACAACAAGGGCAAGAGAAAGCATAAGTTCCAACCCGAGGAGGAGAACACGCCCAAAAAGAAACAGAACGATACTGCCTAGGACTACAATGACCACGCCACGAACATGTTCGACATCATCATGCCGATGCGCAAGGCCTGCGCCGTCCGAAGACATGACTGGGAGCCACCACCAAGCGACCCCAAGCTCAGAGACAACTGCATGAAGATCAAGTGCATTGACCAAAGGCTGGCAGCATCAGCCACCATGAAGAACAGCGCTGCAGGACTACCCACTACCGATGCTGTGGCGCAACTTGCACGCATCAAAGCTATGATCCTCAGCAGCATGCCTCCAGCTCAACAGGCCAGAGAAATAGATAACACCAAGGGGACTATGGATGACTACTACGATCACAACAAGGCAAACCAGAACGAGATCGAAAGGTACATTACCGAGCTTCAGGCCAAGATTAACGAGCTCAACAACATCCACCAGGACATGAACATAGCCAGGGACGGCGTCTACAGTGACATAGGAGCTGCAGACGGTGAGGCAGACAAACCATTGAGGGACGGACCACATAGAAGGGCGCCCACACCAGCTCCCCGAAGGCAAACAAGGGCTGGGGAGACGACGGAAGGGCATGACATCGATCTGCTACTGAAAATCCTGAAGGAGGACAACCAGCGAATGACGCAGGACATTAAAAACAAGAGCGATGCCAAGAACGAGATCCGCGACATCCAGAAACACCTACGTGCTGCAGGAAAGAGCGCACAATAACAAAAGTAAAGACAACACAGAGAAGCAGCCCAAGCCCGGCACTACCAGAACGAGATCGACAACGCCAAGAGTACGAACGAAAAGCTGGCCGCCCATCACGAGCTCCTACAAGCCAGGATCACTTCAGCTCTGCATAGGACGGAGGACGAACTCGAGGCGATGAGGAACACCGCAACAGGTACTCCAGAACGTCGCGATCACGCCAAGATGGCTGCACTACAGAGCGAGCTCAGGACGGATCAGCAGAAGCATACTGAGAGCAAAAACGACCGGCGGACATACAGCAGCAGCTACGCGAGGTAGAAAAGGTGGCCATGTAGAGGCAGACCTACTTCACAGGACCAACGAGGCGGAGCAGCACATCTCCACAATCGAGGCGCAAAGACTCAATGACCTAAACAACAGGCTCAGCTCCGCAGCAAGTGGAGAAATGCTGAGGACCTACGCCGACAGGCCCACGCCGAGATGCACGACAAAAAAATGCAGATGGAGGCAACTATTGGCAACGTCCGGGAGGAGTACCACAACGGGTCACTGACATTTAACGACTCGTCCGAATAAGGGGTCTGAACAGGCCCAACACCACGAACAATACCTCAGGCACGTGCTGACCGACATACTCCAACGCGCGGAACTCGGCACGGTGGAGCAGCATGAAGCCCATCGACGCGAGATCCAGATCTACCAGCAGAAGGAAGCGGACTGGAAAACTGGAAAGAAATAGACGAGAGACGCAACGAAGAAGCAACCGAGAAGCACCACTACGCGCGTCACGCAGCTTGTGCAGCAAGGGAGCGACTGGACATCGTAGAGATGGTCGACGCGATTGAGAAGGCCCTGGCCACAGAGATGCCTACCGATGAGGACGAGCCACCACCGTTCATGTCACCTGTCGAGCCTCCACCCACACAAGGTACTGAACGAGGAGAGACCCAGCTATCGCAGTCACCCAATGACCAGGTTGCGCACGGGTGTCAGACGCGTACAAAGTGACTGTATTACAGCAGACCCACTTCCACCCTTCGACCCCGACCAGGGCTTCCAGAACTGCAGGCGCATCGTCGACTACAAGAGCGGTGAGTTCGCGGAATATCGACAGTGGTGCTCCAGACCCAGCAGGCCCATCTGGTAGCATCGACTGCGACTGCCCGATACCGAACGCCAGGACATCAGGACCTGTACAATCAGGACAACCCGACAACCAACCAACGAGATCATGGTACTGGTCACGCGATCGCCAAGGATGAAGAGAGACAACAGGATCACAACCACTGAGGAGCTCACCCCGACAGCCAACTCACCACAGAGGATGTTCATCGACACGCCTGGGAGGGGATCCTCTGTGTCACCAGCTCGCAGACATCCAGCACCTTCGACGAGGAGCTCAAGCGCAATGAGAACACGGAGGGCTACTATCGACCCCAGCGAGCCCCACCAAATCGTACCATACGACCCAGACGCAACAACCAGCATCGCAACCAGCGATGACACAGCCCAGGACACAGAGGCTGCAATGGTAACCTTCTGACGGTCGCATGGCAGCGCGGACCCCACCAGGGATCACGTTGCACACGGTGAGTCTGGAGCACCACATTGTCAATACAGCCCAGACCGGCATGACCCACCGCAACAGGACCACAGCAACCCGCAACCAGCTACGGGGAGTCTACTTCAACTGGCAGAGCCACACAGCCAACAGCCCAGACAAGGACCAGCCACGGCCCGGTTCGGACGGAGTGCAAGGCCAGTCAATGTCCCCTCTAAGGGTGGCGGACCAACGGACGACGCAGCGAATAGACGACGGCCACATCCGCTGCCACCACCAGTTCTGACGGAGCCACACAGAGCACCGACCCACCAGCGCGGGCACAGGACGGAAGCCAGGCGCAAAATAGCGCACGAGGGCGAGTTGAGGTGGAGGGATGCCGAGTTCAACCACTACGACCGCCTGAGCAGCAACTTGAAGAGACGGCAGCAGATCGCAGCTCCAGCAGTGACAGCATCCTACAGGGCCACGCTGGCGGACCTGACATCATGGTCCATGCCTTCCACGTCCATCGTGGAATGGGACAACCCGGCGACGAGCTCTGCTCCGTGCGAGAGGGCCAGACACTGGGGCAGTCCACGTTCACCGTGACGGAGCCGAGGTCCCGAGACGCACCTCCCCGCCCCACCTTACCACTTGTTCCCCAGACCAACACGACCCTGAAAGATTCAACCCAGCTGCCATCATGACCCTATAGCTCGCGCACAATGGGATAATTAAGCGGATCCACCTGTACACCGACGGCACGCACCAGTCAGACTCGACCAGAGACGCTTGGGCGGTAGTCGTCACCATCGGGACAATGGCAGCGAGAACGTCAGACGCAGCTCGGACCGACATAGACCACGTGACCTCTACAACCTCAGAGCTGGCTGCGCTAATATGGGCATACGCGAGGATATGCTGGGGGGGGAAGGGGCAGGAGCTCCTCCTCCTCCCTCATCCTCCTCCTCCTCCTCCTCCTCCTCCTCCTCCTCCTCCTCCTCCTCCTCCTCCTCCTCCTCCTCCTCCTCCTCCTCCTCCTCCTCCTCCTCCTCCTCCTCCTCCCCTCCTCCTCCTCCTCCTCCTCCTCCTCCTCCTCCTCCTCCTCCTCCTCCTCCTCCTCCTCCTCCTCCTCCTCCTCCTCCCCCTCGAGGACCCAGACACGCGATGTCTTTCCCAGGAGCCGGCTTTTCTTCCCGAGGCGTTCTTGTGGACGGCCCCCCAGGCCCCGGCAAGAGCGCCCCGGGGCGGAAAACGGCCGAGCACCCGCCGTCGTGTTTCGTGCCGCAGCGCCAGGAGGTCTGGGTCCGAGAGGTCCTTGGAGGCACTCGACCCTATCTTGGCTAACCCCAACCACCGGATGACACGGTCAAACATATGATTAAGAACGTTATCAGTTAAGAAAGCTGGGCCAGCTTTTCAGAAGTTTCTTAAGGACGCGCTGGGCCAGCTTTTGGAGCCAGGAACGTACGCTACTCATCTCCAGGATCCAAAGTGACCGATCTCCTTAAGAAACTGAGCAAGCTTTCCGGCAAGCTGGTTAAGAAACGCT